GGACTCCTACAAACACACGCTAACTCTCCTCTTTTAAATGTACGTGTGTGCACACGCGCGCACACACGCGCGCGCACACACACACGATACAAAACCACATGTTGATCAACTATAGGCTCCAGATGAGAACATTGCTGCACAGCTGTGCTTATTTTCCTCAGGAGTTTCTCAGCGTCTCAGGTCTCAAACATACAGTAAATGTCCAGAGATGGAGTGATAGAAAAGAGAAGAGAGGGAAAAAAGAGTGCTGCGCAATCCCCAGTGTAACTGGTAAACAATAGTTCCTTTAAGAGGACAAGGGAGCCTTGGCTGGGAGAGGAGGGGGGTTGATGAAGAGTAGAAACATGTGCTCCTCAATCAAGCTCCGCTGTGGTTTATAAATATCTGCACCGTAGCGTCTGAAGGCCGGTTCAAAGCTCTGGGACGCACGTGTTCGGCCTCTTGGCTCCGACGCGAGCACACTGAAGTTAGAGTTCACTTCCTGCTTGGATGTGTGGTTCCAGGTGGTAAACTGTAAAAACTAACAAACGCCAGTCAAGTTGTTTTAGGAATGTGGAGGCACCATCAGCAGTCACCCCTGGCAAGTGAGGAGAGGCTGTTAATGGAAGAATCCGCATGACTGAGATATCAGAAGAGGGGGTTTATGAACCCAGACCAGAATGAGCTTCTTCATCGATACGAACAAATAGTCACAGGTACAGCAGTGCTTCCTGTGCTTATTTTAGCTCGGTGGAGGTTAGAGTGAATGAGAAAGTGGCCGTTGGAGGAGGAGAGGGAATACAGTGGCAATAAGAACCACATATTTGTCTCCAGACCTCTCAGTTGTAAATGCCCCCTTTCGGGGCCTCACAGTGTGTGTGTGCAGCTCTACCAGCAAGACAGACCCTCTGAGTCTGGAGGGGGAAACAGAAAAGGAGGTAGAAGATACAATGCAGCCTTTATCGTTTACACATGCCTGCCTGTCACTGACAGCTCACAAATACCACCACTTTTCACCCACCGTCACACCAACGCACGTACAAACATCAAACGCACAAACAAGAGAAAACGTGTTGAAGACCAACAGCCAACGCAACCTTTGGAGAACTAAGTTTACAATAATCTGAGACTTTGTTATGAACAGAGTGAAAACAGAAGCAGTGGAGGACGCTGGCACGGACATGTTGGTTGCACAATAGAAGATTATCTGCAGCATGTTCCCCTGAGGGCTCACAGGAAGGCAGAAAAAACAGGACCACTATTGGTTTCTGGGGTGTGCAGGCGATACTTTACTATCAGATCTGGGCTGTACATGTTAGCTAACTGAACACTGTGTTCACTAAACGTCCACTGAGTTAAACAAGGTGGCTAAGTTTAGGAGGAAGACTTCAAAAAGTCAAATACTCACAGGTAGGGTTGTCACGGTAACCGGTGTAGCGGTAAACCCTGGTAAAAAAAAGTTGACAATAATAATAACTGTCTTGTTTTAAAAAAAAAACTATATTATCTCAGTGGGTTTACCGTGGCTGCGGTGTAGGTGTGGTGACCCTTACCAGCCACCGTATCATCTGCTGAAGTTGCCGGCGGCACATGCGCGCTTTGTTGTTTACAACCAAAACTTTCTTGAAGCTAAAGCTGAAATAATGGCCAAAAGAGGAGACGGCAGCGCTCAGGAGGACATTTTTTATCCCTCAAAGAAGACAAAGTGGGAAGTACGGGCATCTTTTGGATATCTAAAGAATGCCGAGGAACAGTTTATAGAAGACGGCTATCCTGTTTGCAGCACGTGCAGAAAAAGTGTCTGTGAAAGGCAGCAACGCTTCAAATCTCATGACACATCTACGTGACCATCACCCACAACTCTACAGTCAACGCAAGGCAAGCTAACGTTAGCGTTTTAGCTAAAATGCGTGATCTGAGGATTTGGGTTGAGGGAGAATGCAACGAGTCGCTATATAAAGCAGCCGCAGCGCCGCTACCTGCATATAAACCGTGTCGCGGACACCGTCATGTTGAAATGACGCTATGCATTATGGGGCTCCCAGGGGCAGATAAGAGTTGGTCTCTCTCCGAGAATAATTATGAATTTAACAATGATTACTGCCTGATGACATTTTCCCCACATCTGCAAAGCTCACTGGAACACAAACCGAGGACAATATTTTCCTGATATAGGGTTTATTACTCAAGTAAGGGTAAAAAAGTATCTGATTAGAAGATTACTCGAGTACTGAGTATCATTTGAACTAATATTTTTAAAATGATGACATCAAACAGACATAAAATAAGAAGTTATGGGCAAATATTGGTATTTTAAAGACTAAAGGGAAAAAATGTGAACAAATAAACAACATAATTACAAAATAACACATTTTAGGCAAAATTTAGACACAAACCGAGTACAATATTTCCTGACATACAGGGTTTATTTAATTGTGTGAAAATGTAGCACGTTTAAAAAAATACCGCGATAATACCGAAAACCGTGGTAATTTTGGTCACAATAACCGTGAGGTTAAATTTCCACACCGTGACAACCCTACTCACAGGTGCAGTTGCTGAGGTGTAAATCACTATTGTGCAAAAACCCACAGGAACAAAACAAGAAGAGGATTTAAAACAAGACAAAAAATGAATGGAAAATTGCAGAAAATGTGCCACTAAATCAAGAATCATCAATCCAGAGGGCGGATGACTGTCAGGTTTGTCTCCCATTACAATGACTGTTTCAATGACCTTTGAAGGAAGTAAATGCTCTTCAGGAAACACAATGGGACAGATTATTAATAGAAATCCACCAATTCTGGCTTTGAGGACCAATACACACCTCTGATCGTTTCAGAGCTTTGACATTCTCAGACCAATTTCTTTCAAAGAACAATAAACAATAGAAAACCTTCAATATTATTTTCTGATTAGCGTGAGAAAGAAGGCTCTTGAAGAAAGTCTCCACATGAAAGATGTGTAATTGTTAGCATGAATTAGCTATTGGTGAGTTCACAAACCGGTAAAAGTGTTGAGCTGCTGCTTGGCAACGGAACGCTCACAGAAATGAAATGACCAAAGCCGAGCGTATGTTGTGCAACTTTTCCCTTGTAGCACTCGACTCCATCTCAAACCGACGAGTCATGTTCTCACAATGTAACCATCAACATGGAAAACACGCTTTCTTGGCAGTTGTTGTCACTGTGTGTGGTGAAAAGCGTAAAAATAAGAGGAAACGACGTGTGTTGATACAATAATAACTGTGGATCTGTGTTAGCACATGCGCTGTGATCAGTTCTGGTCCTTTTGGTCGCAGCGCTGCTTCAACGGTGCAATATCATGAGGGACGAGCAAAATGTCAAACATTTTTTATATCTGTGCGATTATTGTTGATTGGGAACTGGTCGCCTCGTTACCCCCCGTTTACTCCACGACGCAAAACTCACCCCAATTCTCAAACGAGAAGAAAAATGGCTCAAAATTAGCCAAAAATGGCACCGTGTACACCCGGCATTAGCAGTGATTAACCAAAGTATTATTTGGAAATGCCCATCAACCAACATGATTGGTCGAATCTGAGACCGATCAATGTGAGACTCATTTATAATAATAATAATAATGCATTGAACTTATATAGCGCTTTTCTAGACACCCAAAGACGCTTGCACACACTCTCACATTCACACACTGCTAGTGATGGTAAACTACTTGTAGCCACAGCCGCCCTGGGGAGGTCTGACAGAAGTGAGGCTACCATTTGGCGCTGTCGGCCCCTCTGACCACCACTAACACAGGCAAGTTGGGTGAAGTGTCTTGCCCAAGGACACAACAGCAGGATACCCCTGGCGGGAGCTGGAATCGAACCCATGACCCTCCGATCATAAGGCAACCCGCTCTACCACCTGAGCTACTGCTGCCCCATAAGAATAAAACAATATTGTCCCAAGTTTCTGAGCTCACAAGCATAAGAGCTAACTCCTGTTTGCAACGACACATCTTCTATGGTAATAGGAATCAGAAAGAAATATTATATTCATTTAATGTTTGAGTTCAATCAGAATCGGTCAAGTCCTGCACCAGCGGATCAGAACTGTTCGAGAACCAAAAACTAGTATTGGCTGGAATCGATATATTTAAAAAAAAGATTAGGTTTCTGTGATTCAGATTGGCCAGACGAAGATCAGGTCGATAACGCTGAATATAGAATTTTTTGTGCATCTCTAAATATGAGCTAAGCTGCCTCTTTTCCACACTTGCAACAGGTGCAATTCTCTTAAAAAACTGTACGCCACAACTAAATCTGGCTAAATCTGCTGCACAACACAAAAATGCTGTGCAGACACCCTAAGCGTTTTATTCTCCGGTGCATGATGCAGTTACTACATTCATTCAACTGACTTTAGCACAGATTCCGACAAAACACTATGCAACTCTGGGAGGAGGTCACACCAAAGAAGGTAATCTGGTCTTAATTCTGTTGCACTTGTCAAAAAAAATAATTAAGAAACATTCTGAGCCAAGCAAATAAATATATATATATAACCTGAGCCATTTGAGGAGGTAACTGTTTAGTTTACTCTAAATCTGTTTAAGATCCTAAACAAATAGAGCCAAACAGGAAGGAAACGGCTTCGAAGGTTACACAACAACTTTACCCTCTCCCGAGTCAAAAGTTATGTCAGGTGAAATCTCACTGGCTCAAAAAACCTGTCATCTTTAAATAAATTCCCTGCTACATGATGCTACTTTGCCCTTTCTAGGCACTGCTATGAAACAGGAAATAGTTTCTGCACACTTTAAACCCCACAGGAGAAACATTTTTCTGTGCCAGGAACTTTTTCCCCCCAAACATGGCTAAAGCCTGCTCTTTCTTCCTCTTTTAAAGAGGCGGGTTCTCTTCGAGCCACGCAGTTCAGATGATCCACAACAACTGGTGGAAATACCTGAGGTCAGCGTATTCCTGTCCCTGTAAGCAGGCTAATCAGAAATACACACTATCTCCATGTGCTATCGAACAAACAATGCAGAGCACATACCCATACAGCCAGCGTGCTACCCTTTTAATCCAGCGTGGGGTTTGAGTTTTTTCACCCCCACTCTTGGTGAAGAGGAGATCGCTTAAAAAAAAAAAAAAGCATGAACATTTCTTTGTCTGGGAATTCGGGGTCAGGTGATTGCTAAGGGATTCCTGGTTGGCTAGAAAGGACTTGTGAATGTTGGCAATGAGCCAAGAGGCTGTCTTGCAAGCACGGCTGGAAATTTGTTGCAAACCTCGTTTTCACCCTTATATCCATGGCACAAAGTTCATTTCCATAGATGGGGGAGGGGTAGGGAGAAGAGCAGCTAGGGGGGAGTTGGAGAGGGAGAGAGGGAGAGGTCTACTGAAACACATGGCACTCAGAAAGAAAAGAAGACACTCTGGAGAAAGTGTGAGAGCGGAAACCCTCTGAGCCACCATGCTATCGGTGTGCAGGAGTGTGCAGGAGCAGCAAATGCAGAACAAAAGCTATGAATCACACGGTGACTCAGAGGAAAACTTTGATGTTACCTATGCAAGTCTTATAAAAACAAGCAATACTCCAGGTCAGAAAAGGAGGTGACTCAGTCAGTTAGCATCCACGTAATGCTACCTTTGTTTGAAAAATCTGAACTACCCCCTTGTCTCATCTTTTATGGGAATTCACTTGCAGGACATGTCCTGCTAATCTGGCAGTATTTCCCCCCAGAGACACTTTTACGGCTGTCCTCAGAGGAGGACAGCGGGGGTGGAGGGGGGAGGCTGGAAAACCCTGGACATGTTGATATCGTGAAGATTCTCCTTTATGGGACAGAAGATCTGCATCATCAGCATGAACCATAATCACTGGAGGGAGGCACACAGTCATGAAGATTAAATTCCAGTTAGAGGGGGGAAAAAGCCACAAAGTAATCTTCAACCCAGCGGTCCTGCAGTTATCAAATAACTTATTTTATTACAAGGTAAAGAATTAACTTTTAATTGTCTATTATTGCACTCCATTACCACAGCAGGAGACCCCGTGCAGCTGGCTCTGGAGGAAAGCAGTAAAACACAAAGAAAAGCTGTACTACAATACAATGTAATCAACATATAGAGCGACGTTAAAGTACATACCCTCATATTTCAATGTTAAATACTTTTAAATGTTCTTTCCCCCCTTAAGTCTGATTTAACAAACTATTGCTGCTGTTTCTGCTTTTCTCTGAGTTTTTGGTGAGAGGAACCGGTGGTGCCTCAGGGCAGCTGTGGCTACATTGTAGCTCATCACCACCAGCGTGTGAATTGTGTGAAAGACTGAAACTTGGTTTATGCTTGATGCAAGTACATTCCGCGCGGAAATGAGATGCGCATCGGAACTTGCAGCGTTTAGGGTTCCTTCCTTCCTCCACATGGAGGAACCAGTCGAGGTGGCTTGGGCATCTGGTCTGGATGCCTCCTGGACGCCTCCCTGGTGAGGTTTTCCGGGCACGTTCAACCGGGAGGAGACCTAATGGTAGACCCAGGACAAGTGGCTGGGGAGAGGGAAGTCTGGACCTCTCGACATAGGCTACTGACCCCCCGACCCGACTCCGGATAAGCGGATGAAAATGGATGGATGGGTTCCTTCCTACCCTCTGCAGCTTTTCTCCGCTGTGAGCTGATATTCTCCCAGACTGTAGAGGACGGCATGGAGCTCTACGGCATGCATCCAACACTACATCATAGTAGAAGTAGAAATTACTGTTGATTACAACATTCTTTCACTGTGTCCTTGTCTTTTCCGACTGTGACAGCAATTATTAACAATATTTTGATCACAGTGATCTTTATGGACCGAATCACAAAGATGTCTGTACTTAAGAACCTCCGCCACTACGAGCGCTTGCTAATTCGCAATGCTTTTCCACACAGGACCGTCCGTGTGGTTAGAAAATTTCCTAGGTGCGTGGTGCGGAAACTTTGGGCTGCACGGAGACCACGCAAAGGGGCGTGGTTGTTAAAATGACGTAATTTGGCCGCACAGAGCATTGCGGACCCCACGGACGCGTGAAGCATAAACCAAGCTTGGCTGTAGTGCAAAACATTTTGAAGTCCTCTGACTCAGAAAGGCCCTACCCCTGTAAGAGCCATTTATAGAACTGCGTTGGGACGGGGGCCACGGTTAAAAGGCTAGCTGAAATGCAAACCAACGCCCCCAAAAAATCTAAAACCATGAAGCCAATTGCAAAGCTTAGAGCAGATCATTGACCCAGAATTCCTGATTGAGCAGACATGTAATCCATGTAATGACCGCTTAGAGACGGCACAAGCTAGCGGTAGCTTTGCCTGCTAACTGTAGAAATACACTGGTTGTATAGTTATATTGATGTAAACGTTACTGAGTCAACTTGTTTCTTGCTTGAAATTATATAGATATTTTAAAAATATTGAGATATCGCCCAGCCCTAGATGTCACTGATGAGCGCTGCAAAGCATCCACAGTGTAGCGTTATGGTTTATGCTCTTTTATGAAAGAGGAACCATTCTACATTGTAATTTGTGATATTAATTTTATTAAATTAATAACCAAATTGTATAGTTTTAAGAAGACTCAAAGGTTGTTTTCATCAATAAACTGACGATAATATCCGTGTGTCTGTGTTTCAGTTCAATGAAGAAACAAGTTTGGAAGTTAAAAGTTTTAATTCCTCAAATTAAACTAATGATTTTGAAATGACAAGCAGAGGAACATCAATCAACATTGGCAACTTTGTTGAACAATCTTTAACAGTTGATACTGTAAACTTGCTCAAATAGACCTTCTGTTGGAGGTGCTGAAGGTTGAGAGTGATATGATGTGATTATGGATGCGTGTGTGCAAAGTGTAGTGAGAATCGAACATGAGGTGAGATGAATGCGTGTGTGCATCTGATTTTGCTTCAGGAAGAAACAGGTGTCTGAGTGAAAAGTGATGGTTTGAATAAACTTAGGTTTTGTTGGAAAAGATGCATCAAACGCTAACTACCGTGTTCTGCCTCACCGAAAATCGGACCCCCTTTTAGATCCGGGACGCCAGAGGATGTTCATCCAGGTGACACCAGCGGCTGGCAGAGGAGACGGAGGTGTCCGCGGCCCGGTCCAGAGATGCCCGCGGTACACGTCGATGGAAAAACGTTGCAGATGCGTTTTATTAAGTTTAGTTCACTCAGAAATCAAAAGACTCGGTATGAGTCTGCGTTAGAAGTTGCGATTCAGCTATTCTGTCTGCCTGACAGGAACAGCGTGAGGGGGGGGGGGGGGGGGGGGACGAGCCGATCGGCTCTGTCCCCCCTTTGGTTTCTTCAGGTCCTCTCTCTTTCGTTGTCAAGCACGAACTGAATCATGAACTGAAACTTACCAAAAGCCTTTCTCTTCTCAAAGCAAAACGTGTACGTCAGCAAATGTGTTTTGGAGTTTACTGTGAGAATCTGTGTGTGGGTGTGTTTGAGTGTGTGTGTGCTTGAGTGTGTGTGAAGGTCGCTAACAAACATCCTCAAACATTAATTAAGTATGGATTCATTAATCCATTATAATTACCCAAAGCATAAGAATCATTCATTTGATTAAAACACATTTATAATGAGCAAAATGATAATGATTATTCTTTAACATTAAAATCAAGAAAAGAAAGTTTACGACTTGTTATGACTACATTTCCTGGGAACACATCTTCTGGTAGACTGCAGGTGGCAGATGTTATGGTTTCCAGCAGCCTCTTGCAGACTTCATGTCTGCAAAGGTCTCAATCTGTGGGTGAAAGTTCTCAGCGACCCAGCTATTGACCTAGCCGAGTCAAATGACCTTTTGCACAGAAAACCCATATTTCCTCACGTTACAACAGTAAGATGAAAAGTTTTCAGCAATTTTTTAGGGGTGGCCTTGGCCACCCCTTGGGGGCACCCTTGAGTTTAGTAATGGTAAATTTAAAGCAGTATTGGTGCTTCCTTGCTTGTGCCTCCATTCTGCTTCACAAGCAACTAGGGCCGGGTGATATGGACCAAAACGTATATCTCGATATCTTTTTGCTGAATTCCAATTTGCGATATATCTCTCTATATTTTTCCTTCTGTAAAATATTTACACGCTAACTCACTTCAAGCTGTCTTGAGGAATTATATACATGAATCAGTAAATTAAATGCATAAAAATGTATTGATTCTTGTCAAACTTTAACTTTAGTGCCTATAGAGCTCCGGGAGTTGACGTCACTTCTCCCGGCATGCAACAGTTCAAATCGAAACGGCGCCATATTGGCAGGCAGAAGCCCGCAGCTGGACTATTTGTTATTGTCAGAAAACTCAAAACGGGAAATATGGTAGATTCCTGTTGTGCCCCAGGATGCAGAACAGATGCAGACGACATAAGGAATGAGCCATCTACAGGATTCCCCAAGATCCGGAGCGCTGCAAACGTTGGATCATTGTAATAAAATGTGCTAGTGACCGGGCTAAAATGAAGCTGTGGGATCCCAAGAGTAAAGGTTTTCGCTTTTCAGCGACCACTTCATATCAGGTACTTGAACCAACGTTTCCTAAACTGTGTATGGTATTTATTTTAAATGGTTTTATTACGATTCTTAGTGGGCTTCTTAAACTTATTTTGGCGTGGCTTTTTCTGTCTTATTACTCATAGCAACAACATCACGTAAAACGTTGCCTCGTGAGTTCTGCGTGCTGCCGTTTACGTGTTTTATGATCACAGCAATTAACTGGCTAAGCTGTATTTAATTTTTAAGCAATGGTTGATCAATTGTCAGATCACACATGAAAAGCACTTTGGATTGCTATTATCTTTCTCATCGAGACAGATCTCAGACAGATCCTGAGATGCTCCTGCCTGACATATTTATTTTATTCACGGAAAAAAATCAAACTAGTGATTCCTCTTGGCGTTCAGTTTATACATTCAAACAGCACAGCACTCTATTTAAACTACTTGCATGTAAATCTATGTTATTTGTCCATCCATCCACCCATTTTCATCCACTTATCTGGAGTCAGGTTGCGGGGGCAGTAGCCTGCCTGCATGCCGTAGAGCTCCATGCTGCCCCGTTCAGTTTGGGAGAATATTGGCTCACCGCAGAGACAAGCCGCATGAACTATAAATGCTGCAAGTTGTGAAGCGCGTTCCATCCGCGAGCCACATCACCAAGCAGAAAGTAAATGCGTCAAGCATAAACCAAGCTTAAGTTGAGAGGCCCAGACTTCCCTCTCCCCAGCCACTTGGGCCAGCTCATCCGGGGGAATCCCAAGGCATTCCCTGACCAGGTCCGGTAAGAAGTCCGCTCCGACAGCTTCTGGCGTTTTTAAAAAGTATCCCAGGTAAGGGTCGGAGATGTTTAGTCTATTTAATTTCTGACTATATAATTTTGTTTACCTTTGTTGCCTGCCAACATGGCGTCTACTCTCTGAGAGTCACGTGACGTCTGGAGCTCTATTCTCTACTAGTTTGAGCTTTAGAAACACTGGTACAGCTGTCAGTTAACACACACACACACACACACACACACACACACACACACACACACACACACACACACACAGTTGAGAGCTAGAGGTGTATCAAATGTCCCACAGGCACTTTTTAAGTATATGTTTATAATTAATGTAAAATTATTTAAATTTAATCTAGAGGTGGCCATATTGTTTATTTCTTGTCCAGAGAAAGAAAGATCTATCATGATAAGCTAAATGTATGATGATGTAATTGAATCTACTGAAGATCAAATGGGTCATGCACCGTGGAGTTATTAGTTAATAGGGCAAACATGGCTGGAGTCTAACAGTATCGGCTCATATCAGCAATTCTACTGTAATGACTCAGAGTCTCTGGTTGCTCTTTTCTGAGTCTTATTTTCGGGCTACTGTCGCCGTAACCCACGCCTTATAAAATCATAACCTTTTCAACAGAATCACTCATAACAAAGTATAAAACCAGAACAACATTTCTCACCTGTTGAGCTCGCCTTCAAAATAAAATGTTAACCCTATAGTTTACTATTCAAACCCTTACAATACGTTTGAGGTAATTAGGTCACTCTGGCTATCCGTAGATGTTTTCTCATTACACAGGGGAGGGAGGGGTTTGGCTCATCTCCGCACAAGCAGGATGGATAAACAGAGCTCTGTTGGCATTGAACGTCCCCAAACAATTAGAAACCAGGATGCCAAATGCAAAGTTTAGAGCAGCACATTTACCCAGAGGCTCTTAGATTGTGCAAACTTGTGAGAATACATGTAATAACCGCTTAGAGACAGAACAACGTGTCGCTTGCAAAGCGGCTAATCGCTAGCATATCAGTTTGACCAGTTACATTGATATAAAGATATAAAGTCATCTTATATCTTGTTTAAAAATTATATCGATATTTTAAAAATATCGATGTATCGCCCAGCCCTGCAAGCAACTCTTCTAAATTTACAACTGCTGGTTGTTTTTGACAGCGTCTGCTTATGTAATTTCCTACTGAGTTCCAACCAATCAGCTTCAGTTAAGGAAAAGTTGCGCTCAGCTACTCCACCGGGTCATTTTGAGTAGCTTCCCCTGTTTAGGGACTCCAAATGTTCCTGAAAATGACCTATTTGACCGGCCCGGTGAAGTGGACATGCAAGTGTCAGGAAGTATGAGTAAAATTACCCTGAAGTTTCAGTAGTGGAAACATGCGTAACGAGGTATAACTTACAGGATATTAAAAATAGAAAACTATAAAGTACAAGCATGAAAAGAACAAAGTCCTTAGTATTAGTTATGCTAAGGGACTTGTCTTGATTTTCATGTCCTATAAAAATACCGAGCTTGTGTAACGACTTAAAGCAAAGAACAACAACTTTTATATGAATTCACTGAACCCTGGATACAAAACATCAAAGTTAGTGAGAACAAATGAAATCCAAATTTAACACTTTTGTCAAGGAAGCAGAATGATGTTAAAGCAAGAAACAGATGTTGCACACAGATGTCTGCGATTTCTCTCCTGCTCATAGGAAAGACGAGAACAAAGCCAGGAAAAGCAGTGAGGAAATTCCACTGAAATAAATGGTACCTTCATGAGATATCAAATGACCCATCAAATACACTTGGTCATGACCCAACCAGGAGCTCTGAATTTGACCCAAACACCTTTAGTCAGCACCTGTCACTCATTCTGTGGGCTATGGTGGCTGGGACAGACTTGGGGTACTCACCTCCATCTTCCACTTGGCCATCCACTCCTCTCTGGTCCGCTTGCTAATGTAATATGGGTCACCAGCCTGGAAGGTTACTCTGGGCATGGGCCTTTGTCGAAGGCTGATCTCCCAACCAACTCCCCCTCGTTGCCTGCCTCGACCTCCCTGTTTAAGGTATTAAAAACAAACGTTAGCTACTTGATTTTGAATCTTCCTCTGAGCTATTCCTATCAAAGGGCACACAAATCTGTAGCAAAAGTGTGAGTGATCTGAGGTTGAGCTTATGTTCAACTTTCAGAAAAGTGATGATTAATTTTGTAAAGGGAGGTCCCAAAACACTCTGCCAACAATCTCAAGTCCACTGGTACAAACTGGCATGAAAAGCTCCCAAGTGTATTTGATATTTCAAATCTATACACAATTAGGTACCATGTTATCACAGTGTCAAAAGCAAGAAAACCACTAGGTTTAATGGGTCTTAGGTGGCTTCCTGTCCTGCAAAGACACAGTAGGTTTAGAGCTGAAGAAAAGCATGAGTGTTAGCTGTTTTAGGAACAAAGTTAGAATAAACACACAATGACCAAGACACACCTTTAACTTTTCCCACATATTCTAACAGCAAACATACATTAATAAAAACAACTAACCTGTACTGTCAAGTCAAGCTTGGATTTTTTTCAGAGTAGGAACCATCTTCAGCAGAAGGGACAATAAAGGTGACGCACCACCCTCTGAAAGGTAACTTTACCAGAGAGCATGGTGTTCTGACTCAGTCATTCAGAAAGTCTGTTCAGAACTAAATACATCTAGCAATATCAGAGAGGCAGCCGGTAAGATGAATTTATAACATATGCTGGTTGTGTATGGACTTTGCTGCTGGTTAAATAAGGAACTGCTGACCTGTTTGTTTGTTTGCCTAGGCGTGGCCCAAACAATTGAGATTCTGGGTGATTTGTTTGGTTTCACCATAGCATTGTGGTTATTTGCCAAGTAGTGAGATAAGATAATTACTCTTTTTCTGTATTTATAGAATCAGAAAATGCTCTTAGCAAATTGTTT